GATCGGCAGCTGGTGCACCAGGAACTCTGCAAGCCTCAGTGACTACTCTCGACACGTGCACATGCACATGCTCCGGCAAGGGGTGAGGATCCACATGTTTAACCCTAAACCCTAAACCCTAAACCCTAAACCCTAAACCCTAAACCCGAAACAAGAGTTCGCGTCTGCCGGTTGAAGCTAAGGGCGTTTTGATTTTTGCCGGCATGCGCAGGCAAGCGAAGCAGAGCGCGTCTGAACCCAAAAATCCTTCGAGCTTTCTGGGGGAGGGGTTTAGGGTTTAGGGTTTAGGGTTTAGGGTTTAGGGTTTAGGGTTTAGGGTTTAGGGTCCAAGTAGCTGACCCATCGCCAGACCCACAGCAAGCATCGCCTGGCACGGGCCAAGAACCCTAAACCCCAAACCCCCAAACGCTAAACCCTAACGCTCCAAATAGCCCAAAGTAGGTATTCTTTACAGACTTTAGACCCCAATGTAGGCATTATTTGTATACTTGGAGCCTTGGGGATTGAGTTCCGGGGACTGGAAGGATGTCACTTGTTGAGCCAGTGTTTATGTTAAACATCAACTGAGCATACACAATCCTTTGCAAGAAGATGCGGCATGTATCATTCAACTGTGCTGAAGACTCTATGTAAAACCCAAACTAAGAACTTGGTGGGTTGGTGGTGGGGGGGGGGAACTATCCAGGATTTTTATGTGAACGAAAGCTCAGACACAGGCAGTTGCAATTCTGCACAGCAAGTGGGCCGCCTTCAATCCCTGCCCTGTTTCTTCTCTCTCGGGAGCTTGGTGCATGGGATTTGTAGGATGAGGGAGGACTGTCGAATTGTATGACGGCCTGTGGAGAGGTTGTGGCTCGCTCCCCTAATGCCCTACCTTAAAAACCCCCGAACCCTAGATGAAGACTTTGTTGCTTCGTTTTTTACATGTCATTTCTCTAAAAACCCTTGTAGGATTCCTCGGTAACCTAGATCAGCGCACAGCTCAGCAGCTCCAGTTCCAAGAAGATCGCGTCTAACCAACAACAACAACCAACATCAAGACCCCAGGTGCAGTCCATACCCTAAACCCCCCTCTTGCAAACTGGCTTGTCACTTACACTTAAACCCTATAATGCACTTTTTGCCCTAAACCCTAAACCCTAAACCCCTGCCGAGCAAATCCTAACCTGGAGCTGGCATCAGCAGAAAAGCGGATTCGTTTGCTCGGCCAGGAGATCTAGCGGACTGATGCTGGTGCGAAGATATGGGTATTTCCCGAAATCGGGGCTCTATACCTCAAATAGTACAGAATCCCCTTAAAGGGACCCCCAAAAGGGTATCCCAAACCCTATACCCTACGACAAGTCTACACCCCAAGCCTCAAACCCCTAGGCCCCGGGCCTCTTCGGCTGCAAGATCAAACATCTGCACAAACCTCATCGGTTTGGGGTTTAGGGTTTAGGGTTTGGCAGGGATGTGGGTTCCTTTGGTCCGACAAATAACCCCTAGGCCCTAGACCCTCAAAACCGCCAACCCTAAGCCCTTTCTGCATCCGGACTCCTGTGGAGCCCTAAACCCTAAACCCTAAACCCTAAACCCTAAACCCGAAACCCTAAAGGCAAAACTTCATGGGAGCTACTGAACTGAGCCAACGACTTTTGGGGGATTCTGGGCTGCAGGCACGAGGGCCTTAGGGTCTATAGATGAGGTCAAGTGTCCCTGGGCAGGATGGGTGTAGGGTTTAGGGTTTAGGGTTTAGGGTTTAGGGTTTAGGGTTTAGGGTTTAGGGTTTAGGGTTTAGGGTTTAGGGTTTAGGGTTTAGGGTTTAGGGTTTAGGGTTTTCGGGTTCTGCATCTCAAAGTTCAAGCATTCACTAGGTTAGCAGCCTTTCAAGCGCCCGAAAAGTACCCACCCACCCAGAGAATCCGATACCGTTAAGATAATAAAAAGTTTCACACGCAACCCAGACTCTTCACCCCAATTAAACCCTACGCTCTCGTCCCTGAACCTTCACCCTGTCCTTAGAACCCAAAGCCCGGAACCCCCTAAGTTCCTTGAGCCCTAAATCCTAGGGCTCTTCAACCCTCGTGCCAGCCAGTGGCGTTCAAAATGACCGTGGGTAGGGGGGAGGCGGGGGGGGGGGGGGGGGGGGGGGAGGTGGAGGTGGTTTGAGGTTTAGGGTTTATTTTGCCACCCGTCTAGCCAAGCTCCACGGGGCAACTGAAGAGGCAATGCTGTGGTTTAGGGTTACCCTAAACCCTAAACCCTAAACCCTAAACCCTGAACCCTAAACCCTAAACCCTAAACCCCTGCTCTTGAGCCAAAAGGCCTTTGGTGCAGCGAGTACCACTCGTGCCGATGCTCCTGGAATCTCACCTCGGGTCACAGCCGGCCCGCAGAGACCCCCACGCGTCCCCAGCTTTCTCTGTTGGGACTCAAAGGAGGGGCACTTCTAAGGGACCTTCGGCGTTCTTTAGGGGTTATTTGGGGCCTACTTAGGTAGTGACTATATAAGGTGTGTCTATATATATATAGGCACTATATAAGGTATGTATGTATGTATAGGGGTGATACAGGGGAAGAAGATTAAGGGTCCATTCCAGGGTCCTTCCTTTGCCCCCCCCTTACTCCACAAGGCCCTCGCAAAAGATTCTTGTGAGGAAGTCTCAGTCAACCTTAAGCTCCCCCCCGCCGAAACCCTAAACCAAGGGCCTAAACCCTAAACCCTAAACCCTGCACCCTTTAATTTCAAAACAACCCTGACTCCCCTAAGCATCCCAAGGCTCCGACCCCAAAAACCCCCGGTCACCCCCCCCGATACCTCATCGCCGAAAAGAGGCGTGAAACGTGTACCAGTTCTCCTCCACGAACAACTCCAGGTCTCTCCTGGCGACCGTCTGCCTCTCCCCCCTAGGGTTTGGGGTTTAGGGTTTAGGGTTCCCTGACTCCTAAACCCTCTCAACCCCCCATACCCCCTAAAGGACTAAGCACCCTTCTTTTGCTCATCTCCTAAACTCCTGCCTTTTTGCAGGTTGTTACAGTAGAACCTTAGGTACCCAAAACCCTAAACCCTAAACCCTAAACCCCAAACCCTGCCCCCTAAACCCTATAAACCCTCAACCCCCATAATTAAAGCAAAGAGTGCGTCGGCTGATCGATCCGTGGGCCTGGGGAACTCAACCAGCCGCTCGGGGAGCTCAGAGTACCGGAAGATGGGTGTAGGGCTTAGGGTTTAGAGGGTTTTTTTTGGCCATCCGAAACCCGTAAACCCGAAACCCCAAAAGGCTGAACCCCTAAGCCCTAAACCAACACCATCACAAACATTTCCCGTCCAAGCGAGCCAGCGGAAGATGTTTTTGCCCGCCGCCAACCCATGCAACCGCACTGCGGGCGGATTTAAGGCTTAGGCAAAGTCTGAAGCCAAAGTGCCCGATACCCCTTAGTGAAGGAATATACCTTAAATCTTATTAATAACCCCTATAGCAAAAAGGAATATTCCCTACTGTAGTTAAGGGATATTGGGCTCTTTAGAAAGCTCTTCCGAACCCTTCTGGCCTTCGTGTGCTGGAACACAAGTGATGAGCAAAGGCCACCACGGCTTGGGGAACCTCACGACTCATGCTGGCTCAACTTCTCCAAGCCTCTTGTGGTGGAACTGGGCCGTAGTGACCCTGAACCCTAAACCCTCAACCCTCAACCCTAAACCCTGTTGGACAAACCAATCCGACTCGTCCTTGGGCCTAGGCGCCGTGCCCCTAGATACGAAACCCTTTTGGCCACTGGACTGAAGGCAAGCCAGACTCCCATAGGTGCTAAACCCTGAGTCTAAGGGTAGTTACATGGTCCCTTAGTACGGGCCCTTAGAAGGGTACCCCTTATATACCACTCATATACCCTATTTAAAGTAAGGGGCCCATACGTCAGAACCCTTTAAAGGAGGTCAGGGACGATGTCTTAGTTGCTGAGTTCATAAGCCCCCAAAAAGTGCACACTTTCAGTTCTATAGAGAATTGTAGTATCCCAACAAGTGTTGTACTCACTCAGCAACTAAGAATTAGTAGCCCTAAACCCTAAACCCAAAACCCTAAACCCGAAGCTTGCGTAAAGATGTTCAGGGACCATGTAACTTCCCTTAGACTGACCTCAAAACACGCTGAGCTTGAGCCATGAAGCCCTCCGCGAGGGCGAGCTCGGGTCCTGTCCAGGCTTGGGGTTTGGGTTTAGGGTTGAGGGTTTGGGGTTTTAGGGTTTAGGTTGAGGGAAGTTCAGGGTTTAGGGTTTGGGGTTTAGGGAGCCGAAACCGTCGGTGTCGGGTCGAGATGTACCTCATTGTTCTACACTTGGGCTCGAAATCCCTAAATAGGAGGTAACTTAAGGTCCAAGTTCTCCCTATTTATGTACATGGACCCTTAGAGTAAGATGTTCGATACACCCCCTCGCCTCCCGACAATGCCATCCTGTCCCCCCAAAGCAGTCGTGGTAGCCCAGTAACCATATTATCAGAACCGTACCCTTCTTGGGGGGGCTAGTTCTTTTGTAAGGGAACCTAGAACTAAACAGAAAAGGGCAATATTAGGGTTTCGGATTTAGGTTTTAGGGTTTAGGGCATCACTGGGCTAGCAAGCAGTCCGATGTCGGGGTCCCTCAGAAAATAGCCCTCCTCCTTGCTGATCCATAAGTTCGACCCATCTCACTCAGAAGACTGGTCAGCCCCGAAACCCTAAACTCTAAACCCTAAACCCTAAACCCTGAACCCTAAACCCTAAACCCTCAACCCTTTTGAACCCTAAGCTGGGACATTTCCCAAAGCAAGCCAGCGAAGCCAGCGGCTCTGAAACGGTGCCGACCCTGGAGCCCGACCGAAGTTTTGCAATCCCTTCTCAAGGTCAACTGCCGGAACAGGTGCGCCCTTACTGAATGAACCCTCTGAGGAATATTCTTCGTTGCTGAGTTCAGAAGCCCCCCCCAAAAAGTGTACACATTCAGTTTTCTAGGGGAATGTATTATCCCAAAACGTGTAA